AACTTGGAAAAAAGGGAAAATGATGGTAATTTTATATTTTTGTTTTGTTGCTGATTTATTGTTTATATAATTTTAAAAAATCATGTATTTAGGTTTTTGTTGTATTATTTTAAATTAGTTTGTTAGCATCTGTTTTAATGGATTGAAATCTTAAAAAACAAGCCAGCAAACCTAGATGCCTTGTGTTCTTACTTAATAGGTCCTGGTTGGAAAGTAGCAGGGAGAGAACTGAAACAGAAGCAGGTTGTGCAGGTCAGACGAAACACAAAATCCACACCTACTGAGTGTGTTGTCCTGGCCTAATAATTCAAATCTGAACTGCTGAGATATTATGGCACCATCAGGGTTGTGTTTGACATCAGGGACCAGGTGGGTGTGGGTGGCATGGTCAGCTCAACATCACTCGTGTCAGGGGCACCTGTGGTAGCCCAAGCGTTCTGCCAGTGAAAATGGAGCTCCGAGTTCCATTTTCACTGGCAAGAGTTGTAGGAGGCCGTCGCAGCTGAAAACAGTGGTCCTCCCAAGCTCCGTTTTCACTGGCACAGGGTTGCAGGAGGCCATCGCGGCTGAAAACAGCGGCTTTCCTGAGCTCTGTTTTTGCTGGCAGAGGCACTGTGGGCCGGTCCTATGCTGTTTTCAGGGTGGCCCTGCAGGCCAGATTTAAGCACCCGCCTTGACACCCCTGCCTTAACCACTAAACCAAACTGGTTTCACCTATAATTGTTTAATATTAAACAATTATATCTGGATACTGCTAAAACTCATTGTGATGACCTTTAACAGGGCAAGACAGTCCATAATAGGGCAACACCAAGGTACTTCAAATGGGCTATCTTACAGAATGTGTCCAAAATCTGGGAACCATGAGTGAATGATATTTAAGAAAGTTGTGACTGGTGCAATGGAATTTACAGTTATGGCATTTATTGATAGGGATAAAAATGCTGATTTTTAGCCCAAGATGACTACCATAACTGATTTAATTCCAAAAATTGGCCCAGTGACCATCTGGTGTAATTTTGGTCCTATTGGTTATCCTTGATTTCTTTGATCTTTCTGTATCATTCTGGTATCACGTCTGGTGCCATTGATCACAGTATCTTATGTCAGCTCTGAACTGACACTTGGGAATAATTTTATTGGGATTCTGAATTTACATGCAGATTGGACTACAAGATAACATTGCATTACAGTAATGACCTTATGGCAATTAAGCTGTGGGATCCTGCTGAATTCCATTCAGCCTCCAGTTGTCCGCCTTTCATGACCTAGGACATTATAGGAAATCGCAGACCTCCTGGTTTTTACATTAGGACTTGGCAGAAGTCTTACAAGCACTGTTAATTATGGACCATTATTGCAAACAAGAATGATGCCAAAGAAAACAGATGATTTACCATGGGTAGTATAAAGGTACAAGTATCTTTTACTCAGTGCTTCAGTTCCCCAGCTATTTTCTCCATCCTTTGGACAAATTAATGGTGGTGTGTGACATTTGGTGACCATGACACTGATCAGTTGTTGAGTGTTGCATGCACTTGTTTCTGAGAAAGTAAAAAAATTGCAATTGACCATGACCTGTAATTTGCCTGGAAGTAGATAATTTTTTTAATAATATAATTTTCTACTATAATTTTAAATGGGCCAAATAATAATTTTATGCAAATACTGCTGATAGTATACATGTGTAGATCTCAGAAATACAATGTCATTTTTGTTGGATGATAACAAATCCTATATAATAATAATATTTATCTTTCATTGTACCATGAGCTGGCATATTGATAGCCTTCACCTTGTTTATACTTGGGTGTATGGATTTTGCACTCATGCTGTTTATCAGTTTTACTATAAGTATATCTAAATGTGCATTGAAACAAAATTGTTAAGAAACTTTAAGAATAGGGAAATGCTATCTAGTCTTGTGATGGTTTGTTGTTTGTTTTGCTTTTTGAGCTCTTTAGAATTTCTTCTGGCCAGTGACAGATATAAATATATTAGTTTATATATTTTGAATGACGTGCATACCACCTAAATCCATTTTCTGTAATAATTTCCCAATACAATTACTTTTTTATTTATAGGAGGAATACATTGTAACTGTTTTCTCTGCTACACCTAAATTAATTGGCAAACTTTATGTGATATTATTTTTCCAAAATAACTTTAAATTGTTTCACCAGAGGGATTTATTTGAATTAAATAGTTTTCTCCAGTACATTTACAGAATTAGACTTTAGCTATAAGAAAAAGAATGATAAGGTATGCTTACATTAACACAGAAGGAAGAAAATAATCCTCTAAAGCAGAACTACTACTAATGTTTCAGAGGAGAATTTCATTCATGATGTATTCATTTTCTGTTTTAATATAATGTATTCTCCACAGTATTTGTCTTTGGGGAAAATTTACTTTCATATTTCTTATGATTATTCCACTTCGTTTATACAGTTATTTGTATTTATGAATTGATATAAATGCATTTTAAGTGAATTACCAAAAGTAAATATTTATAGTTCAGTGTAGTCTTTCAGTTAAAGAATAATTTTAGCTGAACTGATATGAGTGATTCAATTCTAATTTGTTTACTTACTTCTCTTTATTCTGAATATTTCTTGATATTCCATAATATTTCTCTACTTTTGTCATTTCTGTTTGTATGTACTTCTGAGGAAATTCTTTAGAGGAAGTTTTTAAAAGTGTGATGGGGGAGAGTTTTTATGCAAATTATATAGATTCTTAATGCATATTGATCAGTAACTTTATTTGCTGAAATTAGTACCCGTGGATTAGAAGTTTCAATAGATGATTTTGTGTAATCATAAATGACTGATTATACTATACTATCAATACTATCAACCTATAAGAACATGCTGTCATTTTGTGAAGATTCATTTATCGACAAACCCTGTTTAGCAACTGCCTTATTTAGCAACTGCAGTTACGGTAGGGATAAAAAAGGTAACTTTATGATCAGGGCTTGCATTTACATCCTTCACAGGTTGTAAAGTAAAGGAAAGCTGAAATAAGATCCCTGCTTCACTTAGCAACCATGGCTAAATTAATGGCTAATTTACAGGTTCCAATTGTGGTTATGTAGTTCCTCCCTATACGAATTTGTAACTGAAAGTCTTCAGTTGGAACTTTAACTTTTTAGAATAAAAACATGGATAGAAACTTAGGGATGTTAAAATCCTGTTAGATAAATCCAATTTAGAGTAGCTTGTGTATGTGTGTTATTTGTGTTTGTGTGTATAATCACATTTTCCCCCTTTGCCTCCAGATTCCTGCACAGCTCTAATTGTTGCTATGTGCCCTTGATTAAGTGAGTTTAATCAAGCATACACGTTTGAACAATGTGTGTTGAATACTTGTCATCTAAAGCTGTAGGTGGCAAAACAATGTCAACATTTCCATTTTTCCTTTTTTAAAAAAATAAATAAAAGCCATGTTGAATAGGAATGAAAGGAAAGAAAAATCTTCCACAAATGAGCAGTGGGAGATGAAACAAATGAAAAGAGATGGAGAAGGAAAAAGAAGAAGCATTCAAACATAAAAACACCTGTATATATATCTACATAACAATATCAGATTGTGATGGTTTCTTGGATACTTTTTTCAAAATTCTATAAATATTCTTGTTTTCAGAAAAGTTGTGCGTGCACATACACACCAAACACACACTCACATTCAACATTCAGTTAGATCCGTGATGGTGAACCTATGGCACACATGCCATAGGTGGCACTCTGAGCCTTCTCTGTGGGCACGTGAGCCATCACCCCAGCTCAGCTCTACTGCGCCTGCACACGTACCTCCCACTGGCCAGCTGGTCTTTGGTCTCTTCTGTGCATGTGTGCAGGGTTGGGGCGCATGCATGGGGAAGTGCGCACATGTGCAGGACACACAAACATCGCATTTGGGGGATGTGCACGCACGCTTTGGGCACTCATTAGCCATCACTGATGTAGATCCTTCCAGTAATACCACTCTATCAGTGAATAGTCTCCTGGGTTGTGAATTTGTGTTTTTTGTGATTTGTAAATAAAGTTTGGAGGAAAAAAGGAAAGAGTTTCTGTATATTCAGAGTTTCAGTTCATTTTTATTTATACCTCCCACCCCCCCAACCAAACAATAAATTTTCTTAGATCTAGTTCAGCTACGGAGCTCATCCATCAAATCTTTTTGACAGCTTTATGGAAATAACTTATTATTATAAATTACTATAATAAGAATAGTATTTTAATAGTCATTAACATAATACTTATAAAATGTATTTTTGAAATAATTTACTATAACCATTGGGAGAGTTTAAAGAAAAATCTCAGCCTAGATTAAAGCATTGGAATGTGGATTGTAGTCAGGCCTGATCATATTTAGCTTTTTCAAGATTAGCTAAGGTTGGTTGCTTGTTTTTCTGTGTTTCAATATAAGTTGGTAAAATTCTTGCCAATATCTCTAAACCCTGTACATATTTTTATGTGTAGGATTGCAAGAACAATGGATAAGAATAGAATACAATGGCCTAATGTTTTTTAGGTATTAAGATGGTAATAGACCTATAAATGAATTCGCAACAGTTACATATGTCAACGTAATGTGGAAATAATAGGAATTTTGAAGCAGTCAATATGCCTGTCAGGGTTTAAGATATGAAGACATAAAACAGTTGCAGTCTCTTGTTGGCTTAAAACAGCTGCTTTGCAGCCTGCTTGATATTTTATGAATGCGTGCGCGCGCACATACACACACACACACACTCTTTCAGTAGGATATAATTTCCATGATATTAGTTTTATTTGTAAATCATGTTTAGGGTTCATGTTTAGTTAAAAATATAAAAAATTAAGCAACTTCATTGCTTCACTTATTCAGTTTATTGGTTTTATCTGAACTGAAGTTAAATAGAGAATGAAACTATCATTTTTCTAGTTGGTTGACCATTCTACTTCAAGCAGAAGTTCAGATACAATTTATATTAATAATATTTTTTTATATAGGGGAATACATAAAAAATTGGAGGCCAAGATACTTCTTATTGAAGACAGATGGCTCCTTCATAGGATATAAGGAGAAGCCGCAAGATGTGGATCTACCATATCCTCTTAACAACTTTTCAGTAGCAAGTAAGTATGCTTAGTAATCAGTTAATGATTATTGAACAACAGATTGAGAAACTTTTTGAAATGCATAGATTTTAACCTTCATATTTTAGATCGATTAGAGCACAATTCCATAATAGCATAAAAGTTTTTGAAATTTCATTGAATCTTCATTGTGCATTATGCACTGACCAAAGCAAAAGAATAATAGCAGAAGGAAGGAACGCACAGGGCTTGAGGACAGACATTAAAACTTAAATAGCCAGTATTTGAGGTACCATTGGAATGCTTACTCTGTATGTAAATCAAACCTCCATACATCCATATAGAGTATGAAAAAGTTTTCTCCAAGTATTTATTGGACTCAATTTGTGTGACCTGAATCTGAATTATCATCCTCTCTAGCCTCTCTATTATGAGCTTTTGGAGTTAGATGGCAGAAGATTCTTCCAAATAGCAGATATGATTTGTGCTCAACCTAATAACACCCTATTGGTACATTATTTTAGTTGCAGGTAGTCCTCGACTTATGATTAAAATGGAGTCTGCTCATTAGACTTGCAACTGGTGAGGTGATTAAATGAGACAGTCTTGCTTAATAATCCTCATCCCCTGTTCTCTCTCTGATGCAATAATTAAATGACTTTGCAGGTTATTATGAGGAGCATGGGTTGCCTCAGGGGTCGGGGAGGCCCTAGAAGACCTAGCATTAGTCTAGGCCCATTTGCCCTGAGCCTCCCAGGGCCCCATCCACCTCTTGAGACACCCTGTAGTTCGCTTCTTACCCTTGGGATCCCTACAGCCCTTGGATCTGCTCCCACCTCAGAGTCTCTGCAGGTATTTCTCCCTCCCTCCCTCCCCCATGCTACCCATTGGGCCCTAAACTTTTGAATATCTCCAAAACTCTGGAGTTTTCCGCAGGATTGCTGAGATTGAATTAGGAAAGTAGAACAGATTGCTTTATTACACGACCACATGGTGCAATTCTGGAAGTGGCCATTTTCTAAGCAACCACAATTCAGTGCAGCTGCTCAGAAAATTCTAGTTGTTCCAAAACTGTGCTGGACAATCGTGCAACAAAGTGATCTATTTTGCTTTTCCAACCCAAAGTCTGGAACTTTGGAGATCTTTAAAGGTAAGTGAGGAGGGCGGTGTAGGGCAGCTGGAGCAAGAAGAAGGCCCAAGGCCTGTAAAGATGTAGGGGGGGTGGGGTGGAGGAAGATAGGTGGGGGTGTGCTGCAGTGTCTCTGTGATTGTTTATAAGGGTGAATAATCATGTGGGCACTGCAGTGGCTATAACTTCAGGACCAAATGAAATAACTTTTTTTTGGGGGGGGGGGGTCTGCCATAACTTGGAACAATTGCTAAGTGACCAGTTGTTAATCAAGGACTACCTGCAACACCCACCCACACCCATTTAAGTGCACACCGAGTTATACCAAAACTCTCCCAAAGGATGAAACAAGCAATTTTTTGGTTGCATAATCCACAAGAGAAAACTGTAAATCCTCTGGTAGATAGAAAATAGAAGATAAAGAAGATAAACTCAGACAATCTTTCTGTGAACAAACTTGGGTATACTTTTAGATGTTGCTCTGGATAGAAGGAGTCTTTGGAAGTTACATTCTTGCTTTTACTAAATACTTTTTACAGTAATGAGTCCCAGCTTAATTGGTATAAAATATTCTTCTTGCAAAATCTCAGTATATTTGGTCTTTGGAAATTATAGAAAATGCAAAAGTGCATTCTGCTTTTTTTAACTTATAATTCTTTTACGTGTTAGAAGATTTAGAAAAAATTCAAGGCACATTAAATAGGTCTTGATTAGGAATTATTTTTTTTTCATGATATTTCTTGGAATGGGGCTGTAAGACTTCAGTATTATGTGTTTAGGTATAAATCCTGCGGTACTTAAATAAAGCTACTGACTGCAGAAGATTGAACTAGAGTATTTTTTTATTCCAACAATGTGAGTTCAAAGCATTTGAAATACTTCATAAACACAATTACGTTACATACATTATGTGTATATATGGCAAAGCAGGATGGGGGGTAGTGCATCCATCCTTGCTCTCCTTGATCTCTCAGCAGTTTTTGATGCCATCAACCATGGTATCCTTTTGGGTTGGCTATGGAGATGAGGCTGGGCAGCACAATATTGCACTGCTTCAGTTTCTTTCTCCAAGGCCTGTCCCAATCAGTGTTAATAGGGAGAAAGAGGCCCAGCCTTCAGCCACTCCTTTGGATTCAAGACTCATTTTTCCAGGAATAGGACCATGTTAATTCTTTTTATTACATCTGGCCTTATGTTGCTTACATTTTCCTATTTTTAGCATGATTTCCACTAATTGATATGGAATAAATGTTAAATATCTAACTGTGTTAACTCCTCTAGTGTACAAGTTGATCTATGTTTTATTTATTTATTTAGGAGCAATCGGGGGAAGGATCCTTTTTGGTCCCTTCCGCGGTTTATCCAACAATCCACCGTGTTTCTCCAACAATACGGCCTCTACCAATAGCAAGGCCCAGCATGTTTTATTGGCATAAAAACAAATTAAGCCCCTCCCCTCAAATTAAGGCCTATATTAAACATGAAATGGGGGGAATGGCGGGGGGGCTTGCTATTAGGAAGTACTTTTGTTGCATACCCGGATATGGTGCTACCTGTGTTGGTGGGGCACTTCGTATCGGGAGACCTTCCGCCACCGTTGGTTTCCCTTCTCCCTTGCTGCCGCAGCATTTACAGCAACGCTGCGGCATTTGGCGCAGCCATGCACGGCCAGTCAGGGCTCCTCCCTGCAACTGGAGGCCTGCGGAGACACTTGGCTTCAGGTGCTCCTGTCGGCTCCTTCCTTTTGCCTTCGAAGGTTAAAGCCAATTCTTTTAAAAACGACACCCTACTACAACAAAGCCTCCCCTGCCCGAGAGGGCAGCCCAACCCCATGTGGGGAGGTGAATCTCCCGGGGTCGCAGCGCAGGATCAGCCCACCTCGGGAGAAGCACCCAGCCACCATCCCTGCCTGGTGCTGGGCAGAGCATGAAGAGCTTCGCCTGGGGCGCCCAGCACAGCCGACAGGCAGGCCCTCCTTCCTGGCGGCAGAGCTCTCACCAAGGCACCCCCCTGCCGGACCCTCCACTCATCCTGCCAGGGCCGCTCCAGAGCCATGCGGGCTGGGCAGAGCCAGGAAAGCAAGCTGCGGGTGCGCGCCCACCTGCCAAGCGAAAGAGCCGGGCCGACCCAAGCTTGGCTTCCTTCCCAAGTCCCTCCAGCCCGAACCTGAAGGGGCCACCAGGAGAGGCCGCCCGAGGCAGTGATAGCGCCCACCCATCCATGGACAGGGAGGCAAGATGACGGCCTGTGCCGCGTCCTCCAAGCTGAGACCCGCCAAGTCAGCACCAAACACCGCGGCATTGCTCTAAACACCACAGCAGCAAGGGAGAAGGGAAAGCAACGTTGACGGAAGGTGTCCCAATACGAAGTGTTCCACCAACGCCGAGGTCAACATCCAAGCTGTTGCCGCTTGCCCACCCAAGGATGCAAGGGGGGGGAATTAAGTCACCCCCAAAAAGACGGCCTTGCCGTTTTTTCGGGGGTCAAAAAAAAAAAAAGGCTTGGCCTTATTTTGTGAGAAACATGGTAGATAGCATTTACATAGTGAGTTCTTTTAACAATACTTGATGGATATTCTTGACCTGTTTTCTTTGTCAGTAAGGTCTGAAACTTCACTTTTTTATTTTTATTGCCTTTATAAAAACTTTATGAAAATAAATATTTAGATATAGGTAACTCTCATATTTTCCTAAGATAGGATTCACTTACTTTTTTTGCAATATTCTAATACACCATTTATTTCCTTTTTTTCTAATAATTTTGTTTTGTTTCTGATGTAATTGATTGTTGTTGTTGTTATTATTATTATTATTTCTGATGTATTTTTTTTTATCTTGCTTTCCTTATTGTGATATCTTGGGTAATATTCCTGCCATCAGATATTTCCTTGGGCTCAAGCCTTTTGCTTAACTCATTTTATAGTATTTATCTTTTATATATACCTCCAACCATTTTTTATCTTTTCTTTTTATTGTTGTGATATTTTGTTAGCCAGTGATATCCTAAGAAGCTACTATTTGCAAAAAAACAACGATGTGTAGGATTTAGAAGATACAATACATCATACAGGACTTATAATCACGGTTGGGCTCAAAATTTATGTTGTTAAGCAAGATAGTTGTTTTCCTCCTTTTATCACATTTTCTTGCCACAGTTATGTGAATCACTGCAGTTGTTAAGTTAGTAACAAGATTGTTAAATGAATCTAGCTTTCCCATTGATTTTGCTTGTCGGAAGGTCACAAAAGATGATCACATGGCCTTTGGATACTGCAATCATCATAAATACACTCCAGTAGCCAAGCGCCCACATTTTGATCACATGATCACCAGAATGTTGCAATGATCATAAGTATGAAAACTGGTCATAAATCATTTTTTTCAGTGCTGTTGTAACTCTTGAGGAGTACCTGTAGTCCTTCAATCAGAAACTTTGGAATTTTTAATGTTGTTCCCTCAAAAATGATGAAAAAGGTTCCATCTGTTAATATAAATTATGGCTTAATGCAGGGGTCCTCAACCACCAGGCTCCGGACCGGTACCGGTCCGTGGATCATTTTGTACCGGGTCGCCTGTTTTGCTTGGGCGCTGCCATCTTGTTTCAATGGCGCTTGAGAAAGTGCTTCCGGGTGAGCTTGTCGGTCGTCAGTTGGAAAGCGGCATTTGGGTGCTGAAGGAATCCTCGCGCCTTAGTTTCGTCGAGGGGGGGCAGCTTCGAACGAAGAGCCGTCCCGATGGCGGTGGAGTCTCGCGTTACTCAGGAGGAGATTAAGAAAGAGCCTGAAAAGCCCATCAACTGCGAGAAGGTACAAAGGAGGAGTTGAAGGTGGTGGGAAGAAGTGGGGGACGGCTGGCTGGCCGGTTGCTCGGCTCGCCTTGCCTTGGTCGTGCGTGCTGATGCCGGTACCGGT